AAACCGTAACTTTTTTGCCAAAAAAAAGGAATGAAGAAACCTAAAAAAAAAGTCATAAACCCAATCACAGATATACACCGAGAATCCAGAGCCTCGAAATTATCCACGATAAGGTACCTGATCCAGAATTTTGCCAGTTTTGAGTAATAGATCAAGGGCTAAAGAAAAAGTTAGATAAAATCTCTTAAAATATACCAATTAGCATTTCTAAGTCATCGAGCAGCAAAATGCACGAACGGAATTGACTGAGTTCTTTGAAAATTTCATGCAACTTCGCCACTTTTGCTGCTTCGTCCATGTGGAGGAAGTCATCCGGCGAGTATACATGGATATTCGGAATATCAGAATTTTTAGCTATAAGAGCTGCCAAACATGATTTTCCTGAGTTTCGTACACCTGCAAAAAAAAACTCTGGCTTTTTTAAGCTCTAGTGACAAGTGGTGCCTTTTTTGTGATTATTAAGTAGTATAATAAAAAAAAAAAAAGACCAGAAATAGACACTAACTGAAGGCATGTAGCTCGGGATCGAATGACCTGGGAATGCTTTCCCCCACCCCTTAAATGTGTGGAAGCATGCCAGTAACGACACTAACATGGGATACCCACTTCACTGGTTATCTTTGGCACAGAAGTATCTAGACCAAGTGAATTGCCAATCTCAAATGCGCATTTTTGTTAACGAAGACAAAAAGCATTGATATTTTATATATTTAGGCGTTCCGATTTAACAGAGACGAAAAATCTTAGAAAATAAAGTCATCCAAGCGAAAATTTGGTATTACTCTGGTACTCCGTTAGAGCTAAGGACAAGTTACGGCACAGGGAGCGAGGGAAACTTGGGAGAGCCGTGTCAGGCTATTTTATTCAAAGTTGAATTTTTCCAATTTTTACTCTGTCACATCAGTTTCATATGTATATTTTCAAATTTTTTAAAACCATTCTAGTAACCGTGGTCATCCTCACAACAAGTATCATTAACTCGTATTCAAAACCATAGAAATTTCTTTAAAAAATTTTCTACTGTTAGATGTGTTGCAACTACGGACAATGCGATCGGAAGATAGCCATTCGATGCGAATTTTGATTTTTTTCTGATTTTGCGTTTCCGAAATTAATAAAAAAAATTTTTTTTGCCATAATTAAGCAAAAAACCCATCGGCCAGCAGCCCTTGAAGAAGTGGCCAACCCTTTGACATTCCGGTAACTTCAGCCATTTCCTTGAGAGTAGCTTCACGTAAACAACACTATGATTGTATTTCCAGGTAACACACACTCCTTGCAATTGAATGCCATCTTTATACCGCACAGTTTAGAAATACAAAGAACTAATAACATTTTTTATTAATTTAACTGTGATACCAAGAAATGCTGAAAAGGAAGAACTGCACTGTTGATTGAGTATTAGCTTAAAAATCTAGAATTCGGGCTGTGAAAAAAACTGACCCGTTAGCAAAAGAGATGTGCACGACAAACGATTCGTTTCGGATGCCGCCATTTTGCAAAACTGTTCACCATAGTTAATAATTTGCGTAATATCTGAGCTCCACGTGATTAAACCGCCACTGAAGAAT